GGCCCCCTTGGGACCGCCGCGGGCTCCCCGAGGCCCCAGGCGGCGCGGGAACGCAAGCATGTCTTTTGTTGCCATGCCTTGGGAGGCAGTCCTGAAGACCGTCCTGGGGTCATCTGAGGGCGCCATGGGAGCCTCTCTGGTCGTGCTGCTGTCCTCTTGCGCGGTCTCAGAGCGCGCTTGGTCCGCCTCGGGTCGTCTTGGACGGTCCAGGGCCGCTCTGGAGGGGCCACCGTGGCAACTCCGAGGGCCCAGCCAGAGCGGTCCGGCCCCGGAGGCCTGCTTCACGCGCGTGGGTCGCGGCATCGTGCGAAAGATGACGTTGGGCGCCAGCCTCGCCTCCCGCAGCTCGCGCAGCAGCACCAAGCCCCGCAACCACTGCCCGCCCTTCTCGCAGGCGGTGATCCCTGCGCTGTAGCTGACAAGGGCCGACTTCGTGGACTCCGTTCACCAAGTCTGCACGGACTGGCGCGCGACTGTGGAAGTGCTGCTCCAACCTGCACGTCTTGTGGTGGGCTTGTTTTCCACCGCCACCACCATAATTAAGTAGGAGGGGGAGGGGGTCCTCCTCCTCCTCCTCCTCCTCCTCCTCCTCCTCCCCATCCTCCACCCCCTTCCCCTCTCCAACTCAGTGGTGGAAAACAGGCCCATCATCCTGGGGCCTCCTGGGTCGTCTTGGAGCCTCGCTGGGTCGGAGCCCCCCTGGGGGGTGCGCCTGGAGCGTGCGCCGGGGCCGGCCTCAGGGCCGGGCTTTTACCGCTTTTGTGGATCCGTTGTCTTGCTGGCACGCGGCTCTCCCAGCAGTGCAGTCTTCGAGTCCCAGACATGATCGCGTCATAGAAAAAAACATGACGTTCTCTTTTGCTTTGTTTCCCCATATCCTAAGATGGGGTTCTTGTTATTACTTGGACGCCTCCTACTCCCTCTCCCTCCTCCTCTTTCCTCCTCCCCTCCTCCTCTTTCCTCATATTCAGACCTATTCATACTCAGACTTACTCATACTCAGACTTACTCATACTCAGACTTACTCATACTCAGACTTACTCACACTCAGACATACTCATACACAGACTTACTCATACTCAGACTTACTCACACCCAGACGTACTCATACACAGACTTACTCATACCCAGACTTACTCATACACAGTATTACTCATACTCAAACTTACTCATACCCAGACGTACACATACACAGACTTTCTCATACACAGACCTACTCATACCCAGACTTACTCATACACAGACTTATTCATACACAGACTTACTCATACTCAGGCATACTCATACTCAGACCTATTCTCATACTCAGACTTACTCAACACACATCAGATTTGGAGGATGTCTCAGGCGGGGCGCTGGTTTCAGCACCCCTAAGGGGAGCCGCAAGGGGTGGTTGCACGGGCTCGTTCGTGGCCATTTTGTGGGGATGTCTCCGGCGGTTTGCCTGTTTCCGGGCTCAACATCCTTTGCTTGGAGAGCAGATTGTGAGGATGTCTGAGGCGGGGCGCTGGTTTCAGTACCCCTAAGGGGAGCCGCCAGGGGTGGTTGCAAGGGCTCGTTCGCGGCCATTTTGTGGGGATGTCTCAGGCGGTTTGCTTGTTTCTGGGCTCAACATCCTTCGCTTGGAGAGCAGATTGTGACGATGTCTCATACGCAATCACTCGCATTAGGGGTCACTCGTCTTCGTCGGCCCTGTCGCACACGTGGACGCGCTATTGTAGTCGACCGCTCATGAACAGACGCTCACCACGGCATGACATAAAACATGAGATGCACATATGGGGAGCTCCACGCAGTGAGTTTTTTTTTTTTTCTCAGGGGGCGCCCTCGCCGGGCCTCGGGAGCGTCAAGGAACGAGTCAGGATGCAGAGCCGGTCCCGGGGAACGGCACAGGACTTCCAGGGGCCCCGTCCTGACAGAATCAAGGGGCCCAAGGACACACAAATAAATACACCCAAATCAAATGATTCCCCCTATTTTCCCATATCTTCGGGGTTTCTGTCTTCCCCCCGACTTCCCATATGTTCCTGTAATTTTCTGGGGAATCGAGGATTCATTGTGTCTGTGTGCTTCTCTTCCTCCCGACAGAAGTCAGGACGCCGCGCGTCTGGCCTGGAGCCTGGGCCTGCGGAGGAAAATCTCCACTGAGGCCAGCGGGCGAGCTCGATCGGGCCAGCGGGAAGGCCTCAGAGAGAAGCGCGGACTCTCCGCGCGGGCCCTGCGGATCCTTTTTCTTTTGGGGGGGGGGGGGCGCCCTCGAGGCGCTCTCGCGGCCCTGCCGGGGCCCCCCCTGCCCTCCCTCGGCTCGGGCTGGGCCAAAGGGGGGGATCGCAAAGGGGGGGGGGGGATTTGAGAATCAGCTCACGTGGCGGACTTCCCCGGCGCCTCCCGGCGCGGGAGGCGGCCATGTCTCGAGGAATGGGCCCCTCGAGGGGCCGAAACCAGCATGCAGCAGATTTCGTATCCCCCCTTTCCCTATCCCCCCCTTTCGTCTGGCCCGATCGGCAACAGCGTGGGGCTTCTAGAGATACATGGCGCACCACAGAGGTCCTACCAGGAAAATCGCCGGCAGAGGGACTCGCCTCCGCCCACATTCGAGAGACTCGCCTCCGCAGTATAGAAGCTGACGGTCAAACAAAAGCGTTTCTCGAACATCCCCGCGCACTTGGGGGGATGGGGGGGGGGCGTTTCGAGAAACTCCCCCGCAGCCTAGAGACTAACGACCCACGGGCTTCTCGACATTCCCCGCGCGGGAGCGGGGCCGGGGGGGAGGAAGGGGAGCAGGGTGGCGCAATTTCGAAAAACTCTTCCGCTGCCCAGAAACGAACGACTCACAGCCAGACTTCAGGACAGAAAAAAAAACACCTTTCGAGAACAGGGGACCCTCCGCCGGCCAAAACACACAGAACATCCTAGGGTACCTTACATAGGATGTAGAAGAACATCCAATAGGCACGCAGGAGCTCAAGTTTTTTGAAACCACAAAACGAGCTTCAATGGTCAGCAGGAGCCGTGTGCCGGAGGTGAAAGCAGGGAGGAGAGGTTCCTGCGCGGGGCTTCCCGAAAAACTATTCCGCCAGGACCCCGCATGATATTTTTGAGCACGACAGCAATGGTCATCGTCGTCTCTGTGCTTGTGGCTGTTGCGGTTGAGGAGGCCCTGCTCCTGTCCCCTGCCTCCTCCTCCTCCTCCTCCCCCTCCTCCTCCTCCTCCTCCTCCGCCTCCTCCTCCTCTCCCTCCGACTGCCTTCTCATGCCACCTCATCCTGAACTTTCGTCCTCATCTGCCTCATCATATTCTTCCGCGCCCTGCCTCCTCCTCCTCATTCTCCTCCGCCTCCTCCTCCGCCTCCGCCACCTCCTCCTCCTCCGCATCCTCCTCCTCCTCCTCTTCATCCTTCTTGTCCTTGTCCTCGTCCCTGCTACCTGCTCATCCTGCCTCCTTCCAATCCCCTTCCTCCTCCTATTCCTGTCTCTTCTTCCTCACCCTCCTCCGCCTCCTCCTCCTCCTCCTCCTCCTCCTCCTCCTCCTCCCTGTTACCTGTTCATCCTGCCTCCTCCCATTCCTCCTCCTGCCTCCTCCTGCCTCCTCCTCCTCCTCCTCCTCCTCCTCCTCCTCCTACTCCTGCCTCATCCTGCCTCCTTCCCCCACTGCCTCATTCTCCCTGCGGCCTCATCTAGTCTCCTCAACCTCCTCATCATTCTCATCAGCATCATCATCATCATCATCACCATCATCATCATCATCATCATCATCATCATCATCATCATCATCATCATCATCATCATCATCATCATCATCACCATCATCATCATCACCATCATCATCATCATCGTGTATCCTTCTCCTGCCCTCTCCTCCTGCCTTCCCCCCCTCGTCCTGCCTCATCTTCCTCCTGCTTCACCCTCCCCCTCCTCGTGCCTCTTACTCTTGCCTCCTCCTCCTCCTTCTCCTCCTCCTACCCTCTCTTCCTCTCCCTGCTTTACCATTCCTCCCTCCGTCCGCCTCCTCCTCGTCATCCTGATCTTTGTCATTCTCCACGCCCTCCTGATCAACCTTCTTGTCGTCGATCTCCTCTTCCTGCCTCCTCCCCCTCCTCCTCCTCCTCCTCCTCCTCCTCCTCCTCCTCCTCCTCCCTCGTCCTCCTCCTCCTCCTCCTCCTCCTCCTCGTCCTCCTCCTCGTCCTCCTCCTCCTCCTCCTCCTCCTCCTCCTCCTCCTCCCTCTCCTCCTGCTCTCCCTCTCCCCCCTCATCCTTCTCCCCAGACGTTCCAACATCCTCCTCATCCTCCTCCTCCTCCTCCTCCTGCCTCCTCCACCTGCACCTCCAGCTCTTCCACCTCCTCGCAATCCATCCTTCCTACCCCGTGTCATGTGGGCAGCCAGCCCAATTCTGTGCCGACCCAGCTTTGCAAGCCAAATATCTCACTTTTTTATGCCCTTGTCATTCCTCCTCCTTCTCCTCCTCCTCCTCATCCTCCTCATCGCACCCCGAAGCCGGTCGAAAAGGCGGGCCGGGCGTTACGCATTTGACTTCCTCACCATGTATCATCCTGAGGCTCAAAATTTGGCGACGTATTCACAGATGCACGGCGGGCCGCTTCCAAAATGTGGCTCTCGCCTGAGCGCTGCGCAAGCGTTTCACGGATTGAGGGCGGGCGATTTTCAAAATGGGGCTCTCGCAATAGCGCCGCGCGCACTCATCTTGAACAATTGCAAGAGTTTCAGATATTGAAGGCGGTTTCTTTTCTACATGTGGCTCTCGCCTAAACGCCGCGCACATTCGGTTTAAGAAATTACACAAGTTTCACAGATTCGCATGGCAAGCGTACCTGAAGTTGTGATCTGCCACGATTCAGGATTAGCACGGCACGCCAGTTACGTTGATTCGTTATCCGTCAGATTGTTATTTGTGAAATCAGAATGATATTTTGGGGATCGCAATCTGGCGAGACAAACAATCGTGATTCGGAGCTCCTCACCTCTGAAGTGCCGATACCATGTTTGGGCAAGGTCGCTGATCAGAGTGAGGGTGCCGAACGGTCCGAAAAAGGCCCCAGGTGCTTGCCAAAAATGAGCTTCCGCGGTGAGGATTTGTGTTGCTTGTTGCTTATCAGTGTCGTCAGCACGCGCGACCCACCCGCGACCCACCGGCGACCCGCCCGCAACCCGCCGCGACACGCCTGCGACCCACCCGCGACGCGCACGCGACCCGCCTGCGACCCACACGCGACCCACGTGCGACGCACCCATATTTCTTGGATGAAAATTCGGCGTCTGCTGTGGGCTCGTTGTGTAATGTGTGAATAATCGGCGCCTGCGGCAAGGCTTCTTCAGAGCCTCGCAGACTGCCGACCCGCCGCCACCTTACTCTTATCCACAACTGCGGTGGCTGTAGTATCAGGTTTATGTGTGGTTGATTGTGTGTTCACTTTCCAAGTCCAGCCACCACCACCCCATCTACCAGGCCGCCCAGCGGTAGCCATGAGACCAACAATTTTCCATGGTGCGGCCTTGTTCGGTAGAAATTGCTCTCACTGTCTGCAGCCACTCGGGGTTTCATTCTCTCCAGGCATGTACTGCAATCGAATCACTGTGTCTCTGAATTTAGCTCAACCAGGAGATAACCGAAGTAAGAAAAATATGGAAACATGGCTGGTCAATGGTCTCCACTATCTCCCCGATTCTTGTCGTCCAGAGCTGCTCGCTCGTGACGCTTCCAACCATTTGTCTTCCCCAGCTGTGGCCATGAATTGTCTGTGCTCGTGGCCTTTCTACGTGCGCACCTTCTGCCTCGGGATCCGTGCAGCACCACTGGGTCAAAAGATAACGTGGGCCATTGCAGGCCTTGCCCCGTGTCCCACCTCCAAAGGGATAGTTATGGCATCTCTTTGGGGGCATTCTTGGGGCGCTCTCTGGGGGCCTCTTGGGCCGTCTGGGGGGCCCTTCTTGGCCCGCCTAGAGGGCTCTCTCGAACCCCCTCGGGGCGCTGGAGTTGCTGGGGCCGTCCTAGAGCGTCCCCGGGGGCGCCAGAAGATGTGCGCCCGGGGTCAGCCGGTCAGACTCTGACTCGACGGGGCGGGGCGCCCCCCTGGCACGCGCTGCACTCGAGATGACGTCGGGCTCAATCTTCGTCCGCCACATCTCCCCGAGCAGCGACAGAGCCTGCTGCCACTGGTCGCCATTCCCGCACGCGCTGATCCCAGCGCCGTAGCTGACGACGTTGGGCTCCAGTTTCGCCTCCCGCAGCTTTCGCAGCAGCACCAGGGCCCGCTGCCACTGTTCGCCTTTCCCACAAGCGCTGACCACAGCGTTGTAGGGTCTGACGCCAGGAGTCACTCTCGCCTCCCGCATATCGCTGAGCGCCGACAGGGCATGTTGCCATTGCCCACCCTCTTGGCACGCGACGATCCCAGCGCGGTAGCTGATGACGTCGGGCTCTAACTTCGCCTCCTGCATCTCGCCGAGCAGCGCCAGAGTCTGCTGCCACTGCTCGCCTTTCCCGCACGTGATGATCACAGTGTTGTATAACTTGACGTGCTGATCACAGTGCTGATCACAGTGTTGAATCACACTCGCCTCCCGCATCCCGCTGAGCAGCGACAGGGCACGTTGCCATTGCCCGCCTTTCTGGCACGCGCTGATTCCAGCGCGGTAGCTCATGAAGTCGGCATCCAAATTCGCCTTCCGCATCTCGTTGAGTACCGACAGGGTACGTTGCCATTGCCCGCCTTTCTGGCACGCGAACATACCAGCGCGGTAGCTGGTGACGTCGAGCTCCAACTCCGCCTCCCACAACTCACGCAGCAGCACCAAGGCCCGCAGCCACTGTTCGCCTTCCCCACACGCGCTGATCGTAGCACTGTAGCTGATGACGTCGGGCTCCATCTTTGCCTCCCTCATCCCGCTTAGCAACGCCAGAGTCTGCTGCCACTGCTCGCCTTTCCCGCACGCGCTGATCACAACGTTGTAGGCGACTAATGCAGACATGTAAGCTAAAATCGAAACGGACAATGCGTCTGGAACGGTCCTTTAATGACCTCTTGTGGATCCGGAATCGGTGGCTCATCGTGGTCCACCAACTGGTCCCCCGTCCCGCGTATGGTCCCGCGTATGGTCCCTCGTATGGTCCCCCAGTGGGGCCACGAACCGTGTGAGGGGTGTGCCGACATGGTTGGCGGGGACGCATGCGGGCTGGAACTTTCGGTGGAGCTCCTATGGGGCAGCGAAACGTGTGAGGGGTGTGCCGAAATGCGTGTGGGTGACTTATGCGGGCTGCGCCTCTCGGACCTTCGGTGGACCTCCCTGTGGGCCACGAAACGTGTGAGGGGCGTGCCGAAAATAATGAGTGTGGGTGACGCATGCGGGCTGCGCCACTCGAACCTCCGGTGGAGCTCCCTATGGGGCAACGAAATGTGTGGGGGTTTGCCGAAAATGGGTGTGGGGGACGCATGCGGGCTGCGCCATTGGGACACTCGGTGGAGCTCCCTATGGGGCCACGAAACGTGTGAGGGGCGTGCCGAAATTGGTGTGGGTGACGCATGCGGGTTGCGCCACTGGGACACTCGGTGGAGCTCCCTATGGGGCCACGAAACGTGTGAGCGGTGTTCCGAGATGGGTGTGGGTGACGCATGCGGGCTGCGCCACTGGGACACTCGGTGGAGCTCCCCATGTGGCCACGAAGCGTGTGAGGAATGTGCCGAAATGGGTGTGGGTGACGCACGCGGGCGGTGACAGTGGGGCCTTTGTTGAAGCTCCCATGGGGTTCACGAAACGTGTGAGGAGGAGGGGGGGGAGGAGTGAGGAGGAGGAGGAGGAGGAGGAGGAGGAGGAGGAGGAGGAGGAGGAGGAGGAGGAGGAGGAGACGCGGGGCGCTGTCTCATCAAAACGATGGCCCAAGACCACAGGATGACTGGGACAAGAATCTGGACGGAAAGTTCTTGGCAATGCTCGGCCTCGGGGGGGCCTCGCCGGGCCTCGGGACCGTCAAGAAACGACCCAGGACGAAACACCGGTCCCGGGGAAGGGTCCGGGACTCCCAGGAACCCCGTATTGAAAAGTTCAGAACGTCGCATGTCTAAGTCTCCCCCCTCTGGGGCCGCCCCTCCCTGGCACGTCCCGCTGTTGCAGCCGGCCGCAATTATAGTCTGCCGTGCCCCCCTGGCAACTAGAACGCGCGAGCCGGACATGCCTCCCTGGGCATGCGACGTCCCGATGTTTTCCATCCGGCGTCCCTGGACAAGTCCCGACCCTTTCCCCGGGACTGTTTTCACATCGATGCAAAACCAGTCCCTGGAAAAATCCCGACCCTTTTCCATGGGACTGGTTTTACCACTCAGGATCCTGAGTGGTTTCTTGGTCGTCCCGAGGCCCGGCGCGGGCCCCCCGAGGCCGAAATTGGCCAAAAGCCTCCCCTCCTGATTTTGCCCACGACGCGATCACGTCTGGGAATTAGTCTGCCGTGCGCCCCCCGGCAGCTCGAACGCGCGAGCGGGTTGCCCCTGCCGCGCCGCGACGTCAGAAGTCAGCACGGGCCCCCAGAAGTTCCGACCCCCTCCCCCAGGGGACCGGCCGGCACTTCGTCCCGGGCTCGCCTTGTGGCGCTCCCGGGCCCAGCGAGGGCCCCCAGGCCGTCGACAGCGGAGCACCACCGCCTGGCGTTCTGTGCCATGCGCGCCGTGGCATCTTCAATCCGCGGTGGCGGAACCCAGCCCCTTCCCCTGGGGGTCGTTTGTCGTCCCACGCCCATTGTCGGTGGTCCTCGGGCCCGATGGCCAGCCTCTGAGGCCGAGATCGAGGAAGGACGCCCGAATTGACAAAACACGCCATCGGAAGCTTGATTTTCGGGTCAGAACGGCCGTGCGGACCACCCGGGCACCTCTGGAGCGCTCTCGGCGAGGCGCAGCTGCTGGAAAGCACCCCGAACCTGGACCCCCCCGAGGACAACAGAAAGCCCTCCGTCACGACTTTGTGAATACGCCAGGGGCCAAGTGCGGAAAGCGGCGAAACACCACCGTCCTGACTTTTGCCAATGAGACGGATCACTGGGCACGGATCAGGGTGGGGTCCCTTCGGGGCCGTTTCGAAGGGGGGGGGTTGGGGGGCGGCCTGGGGCGGGCCTTGGGAGCTTGGTTTGGGCTGGCGAAACAGCCAAAATCCTTGAACAACTCAAGGGGAATCAACGATCTGTGCCTCTTGGGGCCCTCTTGGAAGGACTCTGACCCATAAGAGTCTTTAGAGGCCCAGCCCCCAATAGGGGGCAACTAATTATTTTGTCGGCGACCTTACTGAAGGACTGGGGTCCCACCAGCAGTGGGAAATACGTATTCATTCGCGGCACCCGCGGCGCAACAATGACGACGACGACGACGACGACGACGACGACGACGACGACGACGACGACGACGACGACGACGACGACTGCTACGATGGCGTTGGGCTCCACCTCGGCCGCCGCCATTCTGTCCAGAAGGGACCGCGCCCTCGGGGGGGGGGAGGGGGGAGGAGGGGGCCGGACAAAGGGGAGGGGAGGATGAGGAGGAGGAGCATGTGGGGGGAGAAGGGCGAGGGGAAGAACGACGGGGAGGGAGGAAGAGGGAGGGAGGGAAGGGCGGGAATGAAGGATGGGGCGGGAAGGGAGGAAAAGGGGGAGGGAAGGGAAGAGGGAGGGGGGCTGTTGATGCGACTCGCGGCTTCGCTGGGTGCGTGCTCGACTAGGGGGGGGGGGCATGGGAGGGGAGGGAGACGGAGGGAGGAGGGAATCTGGAGGAGGACGGAGGAGGGGGGGGAGGGAGGCGGAGGGAAGAGGAACGGGAACAGGGAAGCGAGCAGGGCAGGGCTTCCTCCCAAAAGCGAGCAGGGAAGAGAGGGAGGGGAGGGAGGGAGGCAGAAGGGCAGGACGGAGGGAGGGGGGAGGGGGGAGGGGGCCGGGGACGAGGTCCTCTGCCACTGCCCGCCCCTCCCGCACGCGCCGACGGCCGCGGTGAAGAGGTGGGGATCCGGCCGCCAGGGCCCCTGCAGCGCGTCCCCCAGGAGGCCCAGTGCCCGCCGCCAGTCGCGCCCGCAACTCTCGATGGCCACCGTCAGGGCCGCGAGGCCCGTAGGCTCGGCCGCCTCGGCGCCGACCGGGGGCGAGGAGGGCATGGGCGAGGGAGGGGGGGGGGAGGGAGGGAGGGGGTGGAGGAGGGCGGGAGGGAGGGGGGGAGGGAGGAGGACGAAGAGGGAGGGGGGGAGGTGGTGGGCCGACGTTCCACCGCCACTGCCACAGGCAGGAGAGGCAGGAGGAGGAGGAGGAGAAAGAGGAGGAGGAGGAGCAGGACCTTCCCATCCTCCCTTCTCCCCCGTCCTCCTAATGGCAGCGGTAATAAAAAATTGGCTCATCAGGAGTGAGGGTGGAACAAGCGCTGCCGAGCGACAGAGACGAGGACAAGCCAGGCGCCCTCGCGGCGCATCGGACTCCCTCCCATCCCTTCCCATTGCGCGGACTTGTCTCTATACGCAGACACGTGTCGACCTGGAACTAAGAAAGGAAAACCCCATCGTGTTATGCGCAACCGTAAAATGGGAACTGCGTACATAGGAGGAGGAGGAGGAGGAGGATGAGGAGGAGAATAATGTGGCGAGTGAGCAGGATGGTGTTGATCTGGAGGACAAGGGGGAACATCATGAAGGACGAACAGCAGCAGCAGCAGCACGGTGCCGAATCATCAGAACGCACGTTGCGAGCGTTTGAAAGGAGTGCCACCTTCCCCTCCACTTCCCATATTCCCCATGTTTTCCGGGGAATCGACGTTTATGTTCTATCAGAGGGGGCAGGAGGGCAGGAGGGAGGAGGAATGGCCGAGGGGGAGAAGGGAGAGAGACAGGAAGGAGAGGGAGGAGGAGGAGGAGGAGGAGGAGGAGCCCAGTGCTCGGCACCTGTGCTCGGCCCCGAGGCTCGGCACAAGGAGGATGCGGATGATGGTGAGGTGGAGGAGGAGGAGGCGGAGGAAGAGGAGGAGGAGGAGGAGGAGGAGGAGGAGGAAGAGGAGGAGGAGGGGGAGGAGAAGAGGGAGGGAGGGAGGGAGGGAGAGAAGGGAGGGAGGGAGGGAGGGAGGGAAGGAGGAGGAGGAGGAGGAGGAGGAGGAAGAGCAAGAGTAAGAGGAGGAGGAGGAGGAGGAGGAGGAGGAGGAAGAGGAGGAGGAGGAGGGTGGAGTGGGGGCGCACGGGCACGCGCAGGACGGCCCGCTCTTTCGCATGCCCGGGTGCTCCCGCAGTGTGCGCGCCGCCCGCCGCTCGACCCGCTCGTCGCCGGGGCCCTTGGCGCGCTGCCGCGGCGACCCCGCCGCCCGTGGTCCCCTGACCCCCGACGCCAGGACTTCGTCAGTCTCGTCGTCCGCACACTCTGCCTGCTGCTACCAGGGGAGGGAGAGGCAGGAGGAAAGGCAGCAGGCGCAAGACGACGACGACGACGACGAGAGCCGTCATGACTTTGAGCCGAGACCCTCTGGAGAAGGCGGGAGGCGGCCACTCTTAGAGTCTGGGGAAACCCACGCAGCCTTGCGCTGTCAACCGCCCCGGCCCCGACTGCGCAGTCGGCCGCCGTCGGCCCCTCACCCAAATCCACAACAGCAAGGTTTGCGCGGCACTCGGTGGGACGCCACCGGCCCTGCCTACCACACGCCTCCAAGCAAGACCATGGAGGCAGTTCGCAAGAAGCCTTCCAGAAGAGACCCAACCCGGAGAATCCAGGACGTCCACTGACTTTTGGTGCGTGAGCGTCGCGCTCTCCAGAGCAAAACCATCGAATCCCAAGAAGCCTAGGGCACCCTGGAGGCAAGCAGGGTGTTACCTGGCATGGGTCTTCACTGTAACGTCGACCCCCTGAGGTCCCGATCCACCCCCCAGGTACAATTTCTTCAGGGCGGGAGGGAGAGAGGACTTTCGGACTCAGCCTGGCGTTTCACCAGCTGTATGCCACCATTGCGCTAGAAAGGTAGCGTGGAGGGGTGCCACGCACCTCTGGCTACCAGGACACGGCTGCACGTGTGCGTCCTCCAGCAAGAAGGTGGAAGATCCTATGTGGAAGATCCTCCAGCAAGCGGTGGCTGCCGCAAGAAGGGGAGGGGAGAGGAGGGAGGAGAGAGAAGGGAGGGAAGGAGGAGGGAGGAGTGAGGGAGGACGGAGGAGGGAGGAGGGAGGAAGGGAGGAGGGGAGGAGGGAGGAGGGGAAGGAGGGAGGAGGGAGGAGATGGACGAGCAGGGAGGAGGGGAGGGAGGAGGGGAGGGAGGGAGGGGGGAAGGATGGAAGAGGAGGGGAGGGAGGAGGGAGAAGGGAGGAGGGGAGGGAGCAGGGGAGGGAGGAAGGAGGAAGGAGGGCGGGAGGAGAGGGAGGGAGGGGAGGAGGCGAGAAGGGAGGAGGGAGGGAGGAAGGGGCCTCGGCGCCAGCCCGCGGACGCCGCGGCGCCGCGCGGAGGGCCCCGGCGCCCGGCGGCACTGGCGGCGGCTTCGGCAGCTGGCCGCCCCCACGCCCAGGCGCGGGCGGCGCCATGGGCGGGACCGCGGGCGCGGCGGGCGCGGGGCCTTCGGCGCCCTGACCCGGATCGGCACTGCACTGCAATGCCGATCCATTGAGAACGACGGCTAGCAAAACGCTGCAACACTGCACCACGAACAACGCACATGCGTATCCAGACCGCACGCACGTCACACCACGTGAACATCTCCTCTGAAGATCGATACATCCGTGGGCGAAACCAGCGCCAACCTACGGACCAAAAACGCAATCGGGCACACCCCTCTCGGGATTTGGACCCGTTCGACCACGACTGCAGGGGCGGGGCACGAGGGGAGGGGTTTCTGTTGCATATTCGGGGGGCCTTCTCTGTCCCTTCGCGCCTCTACCCGCGTCGAATCCGCGCCGAATCTACACGTCGGCCTCGTCGGACCCGAAGCCGCGCCGGATCCACGCCAGATCCGCGTCGAGCCCGCATCGGCCACAAGAGAAGACACAAGTGTTGGGAACATGCAGCGTAGTTGACCCGGATCGGCACTGCAGGGGCGGGGAACGGAGTGAGAGGGGGGGACCGTCTCGGCGGCGCGCCCCTGCGTGAAGGCGCTGGGAAGAGAACCAAGGACGCTCATGCACCATTCGGGCACTTCCTGCGGCCGACAAGCAGGGCGCTTCATTTCCGAAGCCCGCGCGAAATCCTCCGGAACCGAACGAAAAAATGCAGCGGGCGCCGCAAAAGCGCCCCCGCGCCGACACTGCCGAACGCGCCCAGGGCCCGCGCTTCAGACAGCTCCCGCCGCGCATTGCAGTCTCTCTCTCCCTGCAGGCGCCGCGCGCGACCTTTGGGACGTCCCGCGCGGCAAAGGGCGCGCAGCGGCCGGTGGGGTGAGCCTGGCTGGCAACGGCAGAAGGCATGGCCGAGGGCTCCAGAACAGATGGCGACGGGATGTAAGTCGGGCAAGCCCTGGAGGTCCTGCCGCGCCAAGGAAAAACAATGAGGAAGCGGCGCGCTCGCAACGAGTTGGCTACATCCGCAAACCTTTCGTCAGGTCTCGCACGGCATATATGAGCACTCTCCCAGTGCCGCCTGCGCGGAGCATCTGACGCGTCGGCTGGCTTGCCCGGGTCCGGGAGATCGCGCGAATGCGCACCACATGCTCGCGGTTGCGTTCGCGCGGCGCGAAAGCTCGCGCGGCTCTGTCGCGAGGTCGCGCGACCATGGCGTCGTCGCTTTGGCTCGGGACGACCTTCCACTTTGCGTAATATCGTCGGGAATGGAATTTTGCGCGGCGCCTGCCACTCTTTGCGCGGTCATGTATGATTGCTAGAACCATCGCGCGCGCGCGCTCAAGTTCTAGCTAGGCTGGATGGTCCAACTCTTAAGGCTTCCTGTTGGGCTTCCGGGCGCCCAAGGCCCTCGCCTGGACCGCTGGGCTCTTGGGGGCCTCTTTCCGGCCTTCTGGATGCTGCTTGAGGCCGCTAGGGAGCCTCTTGGGGGCCTCTTGGGCTCTCTTGGGGGCCTCTTGGGGCCTCCTCGGAGCATCCTGGACTGCTTCTTGAAGTCGTCATGGGACCTTCCTGGCATGTCTTCGGGGGCCTCTTAGAAAGAAATGTGAAGCCGTTTGGGTGCCGTCTTGGGGCCTCTTGGAGGCTCTTCTGGGCTTCCTGGGGGCCTCTCGGGGGCCTCTTGGGACTTCCTGGGGCGCCTCTTGGGGCCTCTCGGGGGCATCTTGGAGCGGATAACTTGATTTTTCAGTTCGCGTTCCTTCTCTCGGGGCCCCTCTTGGGGCCTTCTTGGGACCCTCTTGCGCTGTCTTGAACGGCTCTAGGGCCGTCTCGGGGCTCTCTTGGACCGTCTTGGGGCCCTCTTAAAAATCTCTTGAGGCCTCTTAAGGGCCTATTAAAGCCTCTTGGGGGCTTCCTGGAAGCCTCTTGGGGCTTCTTGGGGGCATCTCGGGGCGGAGAGCTTGATTTTTCAGTTTGCGTTCCCTGCCTTGGGCCAATATTGGGACCTTCTTGGGACCCTCTTGCGCTTCTTGGGCGGCTCTAGGGGCCGTCTCGGGGCTCTCTTGGGCCGTCTTGGGGGCCTCTTGGGCCGTCTTGCAGACGTTTTAGGAGCCTCTTGGGCGGTGCTTTAGCGCCGGGAACACGAAACAGCGAGAATGCAAAAAACTTTGGAACACAAAAACAATGGAAATCAACGATTTTGCCCTCTCGGGGCACTCTTGGGCGGCATCTTAAAGGCCTCTTGGGGCGTCTTGGGGGCCTCTGGGGCAATTTAAAACGCATCTTGCGTTTCCAGAAACCCCTGGACGGCGTTGGGGGTGTCTCGAGACCGTCTGGGGCCGCCGGGATTGCTGTCTGAGGGCTCCCCAGGGCGATTTTAGGCCTCCCAGAGGTGGGCCCAGGCCCCGGGGCCCATATTTGTGGTCGAGGTTCCGGCCCTGGGCCCCTGGGCCCAGTGCGCCGTTATATGTGTGTGCATATATATATATATATATATATATGTTGGCTATATTTTTGGTTATTGTGTTGCTATTGTTAACTATTTCTGATTATGGTTTGGTAAGTGTCGTTATTGTTTGGTTATTGCTTGGTTATTTGTTGGTCATGGACTTGTTAATTGTTGATTATTTTTGGATGTGATCAATCGCGTGTTGCTTGTCTGTTTCGAGGACCTGATTTGCGTTCTGCTCATGGTGCCGACGTTCACGCACAACGCATCAAGCCCTCACTTCCATGCTGATGCGCTGTATGCTCCCCGTCTTCGCTCCTCCTCCTCCCCGCATTCCCTCCGCTCCTCGCTGCTGCTGCCGCAATCTTCATCATCCCTCATATTCCATTCCATGCCGAGCGCCAGAGGCTACAAATCGTTCGTTCAATTTTGCACGACGATTGGCAATTTCGCGCGACGTCGGGCGTCGCGCGCGCGGAATCCCCCAAAGGCGCACAAGCGCCTGCCGGCGCCTCCCTCGGATTCTGGCGCCTGAGTTTTTTCGAGCCGGGCGTTTTCGCCCGGTTTCGCCCGGCCTCGGGCCACGGGACCCTCACAGATCGATCCAGCTCGAAAAATGATGCAGAAAGATGGGGTCGATGGCTCTGGTCGTGATTTCAAACGTCGAATCTCAAAGCTGGAGTGGACCCCGTCGCGACGCGAGTGACATGACAACCTTTACAACCGCAGGCTCCTGCTGCCCCCACCCTCCACTTGCCGCGAAGGGCTGACAGAAGCCTCCGACGCGAAGTACAACGTGAGGCGTTCACCGTGATTACAGGTCCCTCGGCGCACCATGATTACAGGGGGGAAACGTTTCGGCGGCGCGCCCATGGGGGCGAAGCGAGATGGGGTGGCAGGCCCTCTCAGAAGGCCGCGGGGCTTCTCAGAAGCCGTCGGCCCAGGTCGGCACTACAAGGACGGGGCACGGGGTGATGGGGGGAACGTTTCGGCGGCGCGCCCCTGGAGAAGCGAGAGTGTTTAGCAGTACAATGACCCCTAACCCTTTAAGAGGGGGCCTAAGGTATGAGAGCCATAAACATCAGGGATAGGGGGTCATTTCTACAAACGCATCAAAACAAGCCGCAGAGATTTATCATCCCAAATGCAAGGACGGGAACCTCAGTGCGGCGACGTCTTCATCGTGTCATTCAGGTTGGGGGTTCTTTTACCCTCGATGAAAGAAGGGTGGAGTGGAGTAGAGTGGACCCCGTCGCTATGCAAATAACACGATCACCTCTACAACTGCATGCTCTTGCCGCCCCCTCCCACCTGCCGCGAAGCGCTGAAAACAAGTTTCCACGACGTAGTACATCGTGATGCGTTCACCATACTTACAGGTCCCTCGGCGCCCTCGGCGCTCCATGATTACAGAAAGAAGCCTTTCGGCGGCGCGCCCGTGGGGGGAAGCGAGATGGGGGGAGCAGGCCCTCTCGGAAGGCCGCGGGGCTTCTCGGAAGCCCTCGCGCATTCTAAAAAGGCCTGCCCCCTTTCGCTTCCCCCCGGGCTTGCCGCCGACGAGGGGGAACGTTGACGGGGGGCTGGCTATAGAGCGGGTCGCGTCGAGCTGGAATCGGCGATGAATCGCCGATAGATCAACGATTGCCCCCTGAGCGAATCCGTAGGGTCCTGGGGAGGGGGGTGCTGTCGGGCCACTGTCGGCGATCAATGGGCGACTTGGGGGTCGATGCACCCCCCCTTGAGTTGAGCAGGAACCGACCGTCCCAGCATTCCTAGAGGCCTACCACGACATCTTCGCCGAACAAGAGAACGTCAGACAAGAACAAGAGCATTATGCTTGGAGCACCAGGCCGACGCAGGAAACCGAACGGCCTCCGCCAGACATGTTCTGAGACCCTCGCGTGCATACGACACGAGGTTCTCCTCCTCCTCCTCCTCCTCCTCCTCCTCCTCCTCCTCCTCCTCCTCCTCCTCCTCCTCCTTCTCTCAGAGCATTCCTTGGTGGGCCCATGGGCAAGCCAGGACGCCTCGCCGCGGCTCGACGCAGCCAACCCCGCCCCCCCCCCCGACGCTGCCCCCACGGCGGGCGCGGCCTGCGAGGCCGCGCGCCTCGACCCGGGCGAGCACTTCATTTTCGAGCTCAGGACGGGGCCCCTCCTCCTCCTCCTCCTCCTCCTCCTCCTCCTCCTCCTCCTCCTCCTCCTCCTCCTCCTCCTCCTCCCCTCCCTCTCCCCCTCCCCTTCCTCCTCCTCCTCCTCCTCCTCCTCCTCCTCTTCCTCCTCCTCGGGCCCTCAAGACATGTGGCCGACTCCGGAAGCCTTGCGCCAGCAAAAAGCCTTGCCTCTGCATTCCCCCTAATGTTCCTCTTGCGAAAACCGAGGTTCTCCGCTGGGAGAGGGGAGGAATCGGAAGGCGGATGAAGTAGCTTGGGTTCGGGCCCGCCCAGAAGAGTAACAAGCAACAGCAAAAACGAGATCGATTCTTGAAGCAGGAAGGCGCTTGCAATCGACTGGGAGCTGGAAGTCCAAAAATGCCCAGTTTCAACGACCAGCGTGTAATTCTTTGCCACAAAGAAAAAATCCACTAATCCTCCTCCGCCTCCGCCCTCCTCTCGGCGGCGACGATGAGGGCAAATAGCCCAGGGGCGGGCATTACACGCTTTCGCCCAGGAGCCTCGCCGAAAATATGGATCACCAACGCACTGCTGCGAGTTGCGTGCCGGCCTCTGCTGACAGGCTCAATCAGCTTACAGTCGGACTCGATTGGAGAGGACTCGCCAGAGGTCACAGGACCCTTTCAGAGGGCTGCGTTGCCACAGGAATGTAGGAGGCATGGTCCGCGAGACGCCGAACACGAGGGCATCCTTCATTTGGCAAGGTCGATCAACCACCCTGAGATCCGACGTCTCGGAAAAAAGAGACATCGCTGTACATCCCGACCAGAGCCCTATAGACCCCATCTTCCTGTATCATTTTTCGAGCCGGATCGATCTGTGAGGGTCCCGGGGCCCGAAATTGAGCGAAGACGCCCGTTGCCGAAAAAAAATCTCATAGCCACACACCCCTAGTCATCCCCCCCCCCCTCTTTGCCATCCCCGAGGTTTGGGGGCTCCCCTCCCCCCTCCTCCCCCGAAGAGGGCCGCAGGGGGGCCGCCGCTGCGCGCGCGCCTCGGCCAGCTCGGCGCCGAGGCCCAGGGCCTCGGACAGCTGCTGCCGCATGCGGCGCGAGAGCAGCGCGGGCGCCTCCCGGCGCGCCCGTGTACGGCGCGCGCGCGCGGCGCCGGCGGCCCGGCCGCCCACCCTTCCAGACATGATCGCGTCGTCAAGAAAAAGCAGGACGGGAGGTTTTTGGCCCAGTGCGGCCTCCGGGGGCCCTCGCCGGGAAGCGACTCGGGATGGAAAGCCGGTCCCGAGGAGAGGGTCGGGCCCTTAGCGGGCCCTGGAAACGACAGGGCCGTTTTTTTACCGGTTCCGTTTTGCCGTTTTTGTTGCCGGCTCCGACGCCATTGTTTTACCGGTTCCGTCGCCGTTTTTTGGCCGGTTCCGGCTCCGGTTCCAATCCTGGAGCCGTGTTTTGACATTTCTGGTCGCCGTTTTTTTGCTGTTTCCATTTTCAAGGGAAATCTTTTTGGAAACGGTTAAAAAAAAACGGCCCTGCCGTTTCCGCGGCCCACAAAGGTAGGGCTTTCCAGGGACCCCGCATGGAACAACTCAGGACGTCGCATGTCTGGGCTGGGATCCTGGCGCTGCAGATGTTCCGCACCGGGCGTGTTCGCCCAACTTCGGGCCCGGGGGATCTCGACAGCTCGATCCGGGTCGCAATTATGGCGCAGAACGGTGGGGTCCGGGGCTCCGGGCGTGGTATTTTCACGATGCTGCATTGTTTCGCAGCGTCGGATCTCAGAGAATGTCATGCAAAGGCACGAGGGGATCTGGGCTGCCCCGATACGCAGCTCGTAACACGTAGCGTGTTGACACGGAGCTCAACACGTAGGCTGAGAGCGTAGGTCTGGCGCGATATATTCGCCAAAAAGTGGACCAACACGTGCCGAGCCAGACCGCAGCGTGTTAACACGGACGTGACGTTTTGAACACGGCACGCGTTGCACTTCAACAAGGGCGTATCAGGGCAGCTGAGGACGGAATGCTTTCCGCTATCGTTAGGTCGGGCCTTTCCTTTCACAGGCGGGCTTTGGACGAAAAATGCAAACACAGTCAAACCAGAATCAAATAAGGATCACACATACTTGAAACATCGTCCCCAGACTATCTTGTTGACTATTCTTGGATATTCCTCCTTCCTGTCGAGGGGCACGCCCGACTCGACGCCATCTTCGGCCTCCGCCTCCCGGGGCCCTCGCCAGGCCCCCGGGACCGCCCCCCCCAAAAAAACGGCTCGGGATGCAGAGCCGGCCCCTGGGAAGGGGTCCAGACCACTGGGACTGGGGGTGCACGTCTTTTCTCTGTGTACATCTATGCATATATATATATATGTATGTATGTATATATATATATGTCCTTTCTCTGTTGAATACCTCTCTCTCTCTACACACATATATACATATATATATACCTAAACGACCACCCTGCGGGTGATAAGGAGGTGAGGGGGGAGGGGGAACCAACGTCTCACTCAATCCATCTCGCTATCGATATCACAATCGATCTCACATTCGATCTCACTATCGATATCACTATCGATCTCGCTATCGATCTCACTATCGATTTCACAATCGATCTCACAATCGACCTCACATTCGGTCTCACATTCGGTCTCACTATCGATCTCACTATCGATCTCACAATCGATCTCACAATCGACGTCATCATCATCATCATCATCATCATCAGCATCATCAACATCAACATCATCATCATCATCATCATCATCATCATCATCGCCATCATCAACATATCGATCTCACAATCGATCTCACGTTCGATCTCACTATCGATATCACTATCGATCTCGCTATCAATCTCACTATCGATCTCACAATCGATCTCACAATCGATCTCACATTCGGTCTCACATTCGGTCTCACTGTCGATCTCACAATCGATCTCACGACCGATCTCACAATCGACGTCATCATCAGCATCATCATCATCATCAACATCAACATCATCATCATCATCATCATCATCATCATCATCATCATCGTCATCGCCATCATCAACATCATCATCACCATCATCATCATCATCACCATCATCATAATCATCGGTGACCATCACTATCGGGACACCGACGGGACACCGGCGGGACACCGCGCGCCACCGGCCGCCCGGAAGAGACACATTTGGTCCGGCCGCGCCTCAGCCACAGGGACACCGACGGGACACCGGCGGGACACCGGCGGGACACCGCGCGCAACCGGCCGCCCGGCGGAGAATCATTTGGTCCGGCCGCGCCTCAGCCACAGGAGACTTTCCTCTCGCCCGCCCACGCAGCTTCGCCTCGCCCGCACGCGCGGCACGCACGAACACGAAACCGAAATCGATTTCCCGGTAGGGGGGCTCTCCGTTCCACTTCGATCTCACCCCCTCACCTCCGATATGTGTGTGTGTGTGTTTGGATACACGTATATATGTATATATATATATATGTATATATATATATACCCATATGTACATACAAGAATGACGCAGGGAGTGTGGGCTCTGAGGATGGCCTGTAGCAGCTTGGTGGCGAGCTCCACTCGCGGAGGAGCGAACGAGAACGACCGAGAGCCCACCGCGGCGGACCACCGCCCGGGCGCAGCTCGCAGGACCAGGTGCGTGTAGGGGAGGGGGTGGCTCCGTGGCCTCTGGGCTCTGGCGTGTCCGGACGCGTGCCATGCGAGACGGATCAAGAGACATGGGGAGAGGAGGAGGAGGAGGAGGAGGAGGAGGAGGAGGAGGAGGAGAACACCAAGGCCGACAGGAAATCAGGAAAACAGGAGGAGGAGGACGAGGATGGGGATGGGGATGAGGATGAGGATGAAGAGGAGGAAGTCCTTGGTGACAAGAGTTATGGGGAGAGTACGAGGAGGAGGAGGAATAGTTATGGGGAGAGTACGAGGAGGAGGAGGAGGAAGTAAGCGGCAGCGTTCGGAGATCACCAATGCGGACAGGAAATCAGGAAATCATGAGGAAGTCCGCGGTGAGGAGCAGCTCCACTCGCGAAGGCAACAAGGGCGGACGAGAACGAGGGGCGAACACGTCCCAAGGCCCCCCAGACGCCTCCGGAGCCCCAGCACATGCGGGGGCAGGCGCGGGGATTGGCCCAAACATCTCCGACGACGTGATGTGTTCCATGCCGGCCTTTGTGTCCTCAGTTTCGGCCTCCGGGGGACCGCCCGCCAGCGGGCCCCGAGGCCATCAAGACTGAATACGGGGTCCACTCCAGGGACGAGGTCGGGACCTCTGTGAGGTGCAGTCACAGAACTGATGTCGCCGGATGTCTGGGTCCACCACCACCACCACCTGGGGGATCTAATTAGCCAGGATGTATCTGAATTTCGGGCACACGGCTCCGGCGAACCAGCATGTACCTGTATAAGGTCCGGCGAAGTGCCAGGCTTTCTCTGGTGCCGAAATATAGATACACGTGCCAAATCCGGAAGGAGGGGGGGTCCCTCTGCAACCCCAGGGCTAACATTAGGCCTACCCCGAAAGGAGATTAGGAGAAAAGAACACTCCCACAACTAGAAAGAACCCGGCGCGACCCCAATCAGGGGGGCTATTGCATGGGCGCATTGCTTGGTATTGCTTGGCATTGTTTGGCATGGCTTGGCATTGCTTGGTATTTGGCGCTGCTTGGCGATGATTGGCATTGCGTGGCATTCCGTTGCACATGGGCTGGCATCCTTTTGCATTGCTTGGTGTGATTTACTTGGCATCGCCAGGGAACACCGAGGAACACGACCAGGGACCCCGAGCAGTTCAAACAAGAAGCAGCACTGGGGAACCCGGGGGATGCTGAGGAACGAGACCGGGGAACCCGAGGAACCGAAGCGAGGAACGAGACTGGGGACCACGAGGTTAACGCAAGCAAGGCACAAGACCGGGGAATCCTGGGAAGGAAGGCGAGGAGCACGACTGGGGAACCCACGGCCCTTGCAAGGAAACGAGACCCGGGCACCCCCAAGAACCCACTTGTAAGGAAACATAGCCGGGAAAATCCAGGGAATGCGTCGATGACCAGGTCCGGTACCCACCAGTTTCTCCAACAGCAAATAAGAAACCAACAAGCCAAACCGAATTGGATAACAATGAAGGAACAAGACCAAATGGACCTGGGGAACCAAGGGAACCCCGAGAACGGGGTCCCTGGGGAACTCCTTGTGAGACAAAAAACACAGGGGAACCCCAGGGATCCCCAGGAACCCGGCGACGACTGGGTCTGGCGACCATCCCTGCAACAGCAAGAACAAAGGAACCCTGAGTCAAGGCCTAACCCGGGGGAACACTCTGCTTGTAGCATGCAGCAGACGCTTTAGAACAAGACTGCTTACGCCAGAGATGTTCTAATAACGCTTGACACAAATCAGAAAGAGATCGTTTTCTGATTCGGCGTTTCGATATTGGGCGCAGGGAGGAGAGGGCGAAGGGTGGGTCTGGCTCTGGACCTCTGCTTACTGCGACTGCTTGCAGCAATGCGTCCCATGGGGGTTACTCCGCCTGCTCGAAACAGGCGCCCCAAAGCAGCCAAGATATCTAACCCATGGAGGGGAGGGGGAAGGGGGGGGTGCGAGGGCCCGCGCCGATCGGCAAAACGAGGCATGAGAAAACGATCACAAAGGGTCCTTGCTCAGTGCTCACTGCTTGACTCATGGACCAGAAAAAACAAACGGCACAACCCCACCTGCGGCCCCAAGGCCCGTAGCGCACACCAGGACGTCTGGCGTGGACTTTCGCATGGTGTACGCTACGGCCCCCGATGGGCCACAGCGCAACATGGAGGGCCGCAGGGGGGGGGGGGTCGTGAATATTTGTTCGCCCGCACTAAGGCGCTCCACGCCGTCCGCCCCTCGGAGGCCGCCTGCCCCCGAATGGCCTCGGCAAGCGCGCGCGCGCGCCGAGGGCGGACGGCGCGCGACCCCCGCGGCCCGCCTGCATGTTGACGATGCGCTTCGCCTCCGCCATGGCGCGCTTCTTGTTGCGCTCCTCTCGGGCCCAGGGAGGGCAGGAGGAGGACGAACTCCTCCTCCACCTCCTCCTCCTCCTCCGCCTCCTCCTCCGCCTCCTCCTCCATCTTCTCCCCCTCCTCTATCTCCTGTCCTTCCTCATCTCCCCTCCTCCTCTTCCTCATCTTCCCCTTCCTCCTCCTTCGTTTCCTCCTCCTCCTGGATCCTCCTCCTCCTCCTGTTCCTCCTCCTCCTCGACCTGGCTCCTCATCTCTGGCCCCTCCTCCCTCTCCTGCCCCGCCCCCCCTTCTCCCCTCCTTCTCCCTCCCCCCTCCCTGCTCTTCCCTCTCGTGCCAGGGGTTAGTATCAGGTCGGACATATCCTCCTAGAGGCGGATGATTACAGGAAAAAAAACATGACCCGAACATGCACCCAAGATAATCAAAAGAGCACGAATTATCGTCCCCAGCAACTATTCTTGAACACTCCTCCTGAACTTCCTGTAGAGGGACATGCCCAACTTCAGATTACGTAGATCAAGGTGGGTTGGCGAATCAGCTCGCGTGGCTCGCTCTCACGACGCCTCCCGGCGCCAGCGGCGCAAATGTATCGAGAAAGGCGCCCGTCGCCGGGGCCGAAATCGGCTGCTCGCAGCAGATTCGTACTCCACCCCCCTTTTTCCTGCCCTTTTGATCGTCCGACACCCTCCACTCAACCCCTTCCTCCTTCGCCCCATTCGCCCCTCCTCCCCTCCTGCCTCGCCCCTATTCCCCCATCATCCCTCCCCCCCAAACCCCTCCTCCCACCCCCTCCTTCCCCCCCTCTCTACAATTTCACAATCTGAATACTGTTCTCCTCTCTCCCCTGGCGACGTCCAGGACATATTCGGCACCTCTCCGCGCACAGTTTCTTACACAAGACTCCCGGGAAACGGGTTTTCCCTCCGTTGTTTGTTCACAATGCTGCTCTCGCTGGAGCGCTGGCCTCATTTTCGGGCTACCGCTCGTTCCGAATCGTGCTCCCGCTGCAGCGCTGGCCTCATTTCCACGCTTCCGCTCGTTCCGAATCGTGCTCCCGCTCTGCAGCGCTGGCGTCATTATTTCCAGCGCCATGCCACGGCACAGTTCTCGGTCCAAAAAGGCCTCAACATCTAGAAAATGGCCCACCGAAAAACCATCGGAAGTGATTCCACATGCGGTGTCGATTCGTTGATTTCTGGAATCGGAGAAGCCCCCCCACTTTGAGGCGTCGCCACACAATGCTATGTCAGGCTACGCGTTGATCTTCAACACCATACTGTGCCATGTAATGCGATGCCCTGCTACGACATCCAACTGTGCGAAGAGAGAGGAATCTACGCGATGGGAAGGGATGGGAGGGAGGGGTAGGACGTCAGATATGACGCGATCGTACCTAGCTTGTCCTTTCCCCCCTCCCCTGCTCCCCCTACTCCCCCCGGGAGGCTCGGCCCATGGGCGTCGTAGGCAGGCAACCGTGCGACAGGCGCTAGCGTCAGCGCGCATGGGCGGGCGACGGCCGACGGCAGAGCGGAGCCGAGAACTGGACAGCAGGTCGTGCAAAAGCGGCATCAGCGGTGGCGGGCCTGGCCCGTCAGCCCCTGCAGCTTCCGCACAGAACGGGCTCCTGTCAGAACGCGCACGTCTGCCTCCGCCGGCGAAGGGACACCACTGCCAGGAAAGAGGTCATACGGGGCGCATGCAGGCCAATGAGACACAGCGCTGAGGACGAAAGGCCAGCGGTGCGCCCGGGAGGGAAAGGACGAACTCACTGCGGAACGCGACAAGAAGAGGTGACGCGCTAACACGGGCGCGATTCGGAGGGCGGCGCTCATAGATGTGTGTGTGTGTGTGTGTGCGAACAGAGGAGCAGAGAGCTTCATGATCTGCGCGACTGGGGAGCAACTCGGCTCGGCAGTGCCCCGCGAGGAACAAGAGGTCACCCTGGTCACGTGTTTGCCGTCTGGCAGCGACGCGGCAGCGGCGGCGGCGGAAGCGGGCGGCGGCAGGGGCAGCGGCGGCGATAGCGGCAGCATCGTCAGAAGCGGCGGTGGCGGCAGCAGCAGCAGCGGCTTCGGCAACGGCGGCTGCAGCAGCAGCCGCGGCGACAGCGGCGGCAAAGGCGGCGGAAGAAGCTGCGGCGGCGGCAGCAGCGGCGGCGACAGCGGCAGTGCGCCTTCATGGGAGTCCCCGTGGACCTCCGCGGCCCTGACTTGATGAGAACCTCCGTGGTTAGCGATCTCCGTGGTTTACGATCTCCGTGGACCCCCGTGGGCCCTGGCCTCCGGTGATTATGGTTCTGAGGGGATGCTGTCCAAATTTCGACCACCCCTCTTCACCCTCTTTCGCCCAGACGTCGCCCAGATGTCGCCCAGACGCCAACCAAATCCTACGAAATCCGGGCGAGATCACCCCAACAACGCCAGGGATTTGAGGACACCCTGGGTCGGCGACTCCGAAGGGTGTGGTTTGCAAAGGGTGTGGTTTGCAACTGACACCCTGGGGGGCACCCTGGGGGGCGGGCGGGGACCTCTATAGATTTCTCCGCCGCGACCCGAGGAGGCCCGACGAGGTCAGTGCTGTGCTTCCCGTGGCCCCACGGTGCCGATCGCAGACCACACCCCGGCGTCAGCATACCCTTTGTAGTCGCCGACTGGGGCTCCCATGGAGGACCGCACCGCCCAGCGGCGGCGGCGGAAGCAGCAGCGACGGAGCAGCAGCGGCGGCGGCGGCAGTGCAGAAGCCGCCCCAGCCGCGGGGGGCTCCTGCGCCCGCGCGTCGCGGGACTCGCGCTCCTCGCGTTCCCTGTCGGCCCTGGCGACGCGGCCAGGTCGGCACGCCTCCGCTGCCGCTACTCCTCCTCCTCGACCTGCACCTCCTCCTCCTCGTCGTCGTCGTCCTCCTCCTCCTCCATGCACGACGTGAGCACAGCGTAGAAGCCGAACTCCCGGAGGCTCACGCGGAACTCACGGGTTGGCGCTGGGCCCCCGTCCTCGCACCCCTTCTCTGGCGCGCGGAGCGCGCCCTGGAGCGACGCCCCAATGCCTGGTAGAGCTACCTCCCGCTGCTGGGCAGGGGGCGCTTCTCGCGAATGGACAGCGTACGCGGCGACACCGACTGCGAACCCGATGCAACGTGAAGAGGAACTGCTGACGGGCTTCGTCCACATCCTGTCCGCACCGACTCCGAGCGTACCGCTTCCCTACCCCGCCGACCTTGCTACCCTCGCCACACCCCGAGGCTGTCCGATACCCTTCGCCACACCCCTCGCCACACCCCTCGGCCTCGGGCGCCAGACGATAGAGCCGAGGGGCAAGGGGCGCACCCGAGGGGGCAGGATCGGGGGGGGGGCAGGTTCGGGGGAGGGCACATCGACCTTGCATCGGCGATGCATCGCCGCTAGATCGGCGACAGGCCCACGATGGCAAAACCGCACTTGGAGGGCCCAGTTTACCTGTTTCTAGAACACCAGCCCAGTCGACCTGTTTCTAGAACCCCCAAATCTCATGCCTAGGCCCAATACCGTTCCCACGTTCTAGCCACGAGCGTCTACGGACGCATTGGGTGCCGTTACGTCTGTAGATGCTTTCGGGGTGGATGCGTCTAGAGAAAACGCGTGCGCTGCCTCCGCAGCAGCACACAGAATGTCGGAGAGAGGGCAGGTCCGTCTGCGGCACCTGCCTGTTCCGGAGCAGGTCCCGCACGGCACCCCCCAAAACCTTGCGTTCCTGGGCAGGGTGGGCTCTCGGGCCCCACAGGGGCGATGCGTGGGCGATCGATGATCGCTGCGCCGCCCCCGCCGTGAGCAGGAGGAGGGGGATGAGGAGGAGAAGGAGGAGGAGGGGGAGGAGGAGGAGGGGGAGGAGGAGGAGGGGGAGGAGGGGGAGGAGGGAGATGAGGAGGAGGAGGAGGAGGAGGAGGAGGAGGAGGAGGAGGACGAGGAGGACGAGGAGGAGGAGGAGGAGGAGGAGGAGGGGGAGGAGGAGGAAGCGTACGGTACGGTGACCTCGAAATCTCCCAAGACCTCATCACACGGTCCGTCACCGCACGGTCTTGGGACCTCGGAGGCCCCCGTTGCCCGAGGCGTCCTCGGAGAACGGGGCCCGAGTCCCGAAACCGTGCGGTGACCCCGAATCCCCACCGACTCACCGCACGGTGTGGTCACCGCATCGTTTGGGGGATCTCATGAGGCTGGCAGGCCGCCGGGAGCAGCAGATATCATCCGAGCGCCTCGAACCTCGAAGCTTCGCTCCCCCAGGGCTGGGTCGAGCATTTCATCCGACAGGGAGATCTTCGACGAGAAATGGAAAGTAGTCAAAACATATTCCAAAAATGATCGACAAATCGTCCCCTGACTATTTGACTATTTTTGGATATTCCTCCTGTAGAGGGACATGCCCGACTTCACCCTGGGGCTCAGGCCCTGTGCCAAGCCCCTGGAACCTTGGTGTGTCAGCGCACTCGGAGAGAGAGAGAGAGAGAGAGAGAGAAAGAGAGAGAGATCAGGGAAGGGGTCAAGAGCATGCGACGAGCAAAGCATCACGAATCACCCGTCAGTGGCATGCCGGAGCACCGACACCGACGGACAGCCATCGGTCAGACGCACCGCTCGCATGCCAGAAGGAACGACGCCCATGTTGTGGACTGGACCGCTGATTCCCGTGCCCACACGCCAATGAGTCAACCTGGTCACGACAATGCTGCTCCACCAATCCCAAACATGCGACGTCGTGATTTGCTCAATGCGGAGTCTCCGGAAGTCCCGACCCTTTCCCCGGAACCGGCTTTTCATCATCCTGAATCGTGTTTCGACGGTCCCGAGCCCCGGCGAGGGCCCCCCGAGGCCGAAATCTGCCAAAAACCTCCCGTCCCGACTTTTCTGACGACGCGATCATGTCGGGGAATGTCCTACAGGAGAGAGGGGCCTATGTCCCTGGCGTTGCCCCTGGCCGCCCCCTTGTGAGCAGGGACTCGCTTCGGACCGCGCGGGCCGAAGGGCCTCCCGCTGCTCGAGCTCGGCGCTTGGTGGCGTCCCCTCCCGCCGCTGCTGCTCAGGCTAAAGCGCCGGCTCAAGCTCCAATTCCTCCTCCTCCTCCTCCCTCCCCTTGGCCCTTTGCCCTCTCCATCATCCTCCTCCTCCTCCCTCTCCTCCTTCTCCTCCTCATGTTCCCTCCTTCCCTCCCTGCATCACCATCCATCCCGCCCAATCCGTTCCCTTTTCTCCTCCCCCTCCTCTCCTCCTCCTCCTCCTTCTCCTCCTCCTCCTCCTCCTCCCCTCCCTCCCCCTTCCCCTCTTCATTTTCCTCCTCCTCCTCCTCCTCCTCCTCCTCCTCCTCCTTCCCCCCTCCTCATACTCCTTCTCCTCCTCCTGTTCCCTCTTTCCCTCCCCGCATCCCCATCCATCCAGCGCAATCCGCCCCCTTATCCTCGTACTCCTCCTCCTCCACTCCCTGTTCCTCGTTCTCCTCCTACTCCTCTTCCTCTTCCTCTTCCTCCTCCTCGTCCTCATCATCATCATCACCATCATCATCATCATGATCATCACCATCACCATGACCAGCACCAGCACCAGCACCAGCACCAGTACCAGCACCATCACCATCACCATCACCATCACCATCACAATCACCATCACCATCACCATCACCATCATCATCCTCATCATCATCAGCATCATCATCATCATAGTCATCATCATCATCAGCAGCATCAGCATCAGCATCAGTATCAGCATCAGCATCATGCATCAGCATCATCATTATCATCATCATCATCATCATCATCATCATCATCATCATCATCATCATCATCATCATCATCATCATCATCATCATCATCATCATCATCCGCATACCGTGGTGTGTCCTCCCATCTACTGGTTTCGGTTGCTGCAATGTCCCGGCGGAGAACCGCAGGCGTCAGTCAGTCGGCGGGCACGGAATTTCACCTGGCTCCGCGGGGCAAGGGACGACAAACCATGACAAAACATCACATACAGGGGCGGAGGGGAGCGAAAAAGGTAAGGGGGTGAACGGAGGGGGGTGTGAGGGGGGGGGGAGCGAAAGCGAAGATGGGAGAGATGGGAGAAGGGAGGCAGGAAGAGAGAGGAGGAATGAGGCAGAGGAGGAGGAAGAGGAGGAGGAGAGGGACTATGGATAATGCATATGGAGAAGAAGGCGGAAAGTGGACAAGTACATCGCGAAGGGGGAGAGGGATACAGGAATAGGTACAGCTGGACTGTCGTGGGTCTCCTTCTGCCTCTTTCCCCACCTCCCTCCTCCATCCAAGTCGTCCTCCCTCCTCTCGTGCTGTGTTGGCGACGTGAGGGGTCCGAGCCTTGCGGTCAAGACTACACCCCCAGAACTCTCCAGGAGTGCGTTCCGACGGGAGTGCTCTCAAAGGAGCTCAGCCGCGGCGGGGACGTGCTCCCCAGACCCTCCCCCCACATGGTTCAAGAATGCCCAACACCTCCAGACATCGATCAACCTTTCCCCCCCTCCGGTCAAGGTGGCCTGGGCCATCCGTCTCCCTCTCCCCCTGACCCCCGAAACCGAGGGTCGCCAAAACAATCACGTCCTGGAAAAGCATAATCGAACACCTCCACTCCATCTCTCGGCTACACGCAACGAGAGACCCTGGCTAAAAGTTAGGCCGGGCGTGTCCCCCTAGAGGCGCATTCTGGACGACCTAATAAAATAATACCTAACACTTCTTCAAACATGGTAAAAGTAGATTCGACAAGTCATACCCTGACAATGTTTTGTCTTTTTTGAACTTTCCTCATGTAGAGGGACAGGCCCCCGATTTAAGGCTACACGCAAGAGTGACCTCTGGTGCCCAGCTCTCGGGGACCCACAAGAGGGGGGGGGGAGGGGGGGGGGGCAAAACCCGAGCGCGCACGACGCTGCTAATTATTGCGCCGCGCTCGGCGAAAGGGCGATCCCTATGGGCCCGCACCAACGACCACTCTGGCGAGGGGTCACTCTTACGCGTCGTAGCGTTAGGTCGGGCATGTCCCCCCACAGGCGGATTCCTAAACGAAACATTAAAAGTATGAAACAACATACTAGAGAATAAGCAAAACATGATAATAACGAATCGGCCCCTGACGATTCCTTGACTGTGTTTGAAAATTCCTCCTGTAGAGGGCCACGCCCGACTTAATCGTAGAGATCTGGGCCACTCTTCCTGAGATTCGAATCTCAGGACATCAAGACCGAAGATGTCCACTCCATCCCGCTCTATGACCCGATCCTGACTCCGAAGCGACCCGCGCTGGCCCCGGGCCCCGAAGCTGGGCGAAGAAGACACGCCCGGGGTGAGAAAACACGTGCGGCGCACGGATCTCAAGACCCCCAGGGGCCCGAAGGGGGAGGATCGCATGCCACTGAGGGAAAAGGGGGGGAGAGAGAAAGTCCGACAGTCCGACCACTCCCTCCCAGTGGGGCCCATCCGAATGTACCTTTGTGGTCGGCCATAGATCTGCCCGTGGCCCGCGACAGGGGCCCCCTCGGAGGATCTATCGTGCCGAGGCCCTGATCTTCAAGGCACTCGCTGAAGAAGGAAGATGCGGAGGAGGAGGAGGAGGACCCACACATGCGACGTCCGCTGTTTCTCCTCCTCGTCTTCCTCGTCCTCCTCCTCGTCCTTCTCCTCATCCTCCTCCTCCTCCTCCTCCTCCTCCTCCTCCTCCTCCTCCTCCTCCTCCTCCCCCTCTGGCGTGGCCCGGGCCCCGCTGGCCAATGCACCCCCCCTAGAGTCTCTAGAGATCCTAGATGGGATGCAGTAGGAGCTCGACCACAAGAAGCCATCCACGAGGAACCCAACCCTGAGACCCCAGGACGGCCAGTGTTTTTTTTGGCATGGGAGCGTCACCAAGAATCCATCGAAAAACCACAGAAAACAACATCCCAAGGAACATCTCACGCTTCCCATGGCAGAACCATCGAAACCCAAGAAAACCAGGGCACCCTGGCAGAACCATCGAAACCCAAGAAAACCAGGGCACCCTGGAGGCAAGCAAGGTGCTTCTTGGCATTGGCCTCCACTGTATCGTCTGGTCCCTCCGGGCTTCGACGAGCCCATCCCCCGCTATGATGGTGGGAGGGCGGGGCTGAGAGGGCACGACCTGGTGGGAATAGCGGCCCTGGGGTCTGAACTGGTCGGGCCCTCGTAAAATGATTCGTCGCATGTGTTCATTCACGCGTTCCCCGCGGCAGCGGCAGCGCCGCGAGAAGCGATGCGCACGAGCACCCCCTGACCCCGCAGGGCCCGCTGCGACCGCGTAGCGACGCAGGGTCTACCAGGCCCCCTGGTGCACGCGACGACGCACGCACCAAGGACAGACAGACACGGACGGACGGACACGGACAGACAGCCACGGACGGGCAGGGGGCAATCCGCACCCTGAACGGGCCAGGCGTGAGCAAAAAACCTCCCCTCCAACTCCGCAGCCTCCGTAGGAAGCTACCGGCCATGAGCCTGACGCCCGAAGCCATGAGGCAAGGAGGCCAAAAGGCTAAGAGTGGACAAGAATCCTACTCCTCAAATTTCACTGCCCCCCAAACCACTCGTGCCTCGTGATTTAGGGGCGACGAAAATCGGTCAGGGGGATGATGCCAACTTGGCTCAAAATCGGAGCTTGGGCCACTCTCAGGGTCCGTCAGGTGCCGTGTTCGCCCCATATCCGCTTCTGATGGCCCAGGGCCCCGAAAAGTGCCCCTGGAGGCCCGAACGACAAAACACATCTCGAATGTAGAACCTCGGACCTCGCACCCGTTCCTGCTCGCCGGAGCCGGAACTTGGCCAACTCAGACCCTCAGCCGGCTCGAAGGAATGGGGATTCGTGAAATGATAGTGGCGCAGCCCCGATATGCAACACGCGACACGTAGAGCGTGTCGACACGGAGCTCAACACGTAGACTGAAAACGTAGGTCTGGCGCGATACGTTCGCCAAAACGTGGGCCAACACGTGCCGAGCCAACACGCAGCGTGCGTATTAATACTAACGTTTTGAACCTGGTACGTATCGCGTTAACAAAAACGTGCATATCAGGGCAGCTGGGTGTCGCACAGCACCCTCTTCAATCCAGACTCCAGAACTTCGGACCTCGCATCCACTCCTTCTTGCCCGAACCACTGCTGGGCCACCTCAGGCCCCCAGCCGGCTCCTCACCCCCTCCTCCTCTCCTCCTCCTCCTCCTCTCCTCCTCCCTCCTCCTCCTCCCCTCCTCCTCCTTCTCCTTCCTCCTTCTCCTCCTCCTCCTCCTCCTCCTCCTCCTCCTCCTCCTCCTCCTCCTCCACTCCTCGTCCTCCTCCTCCTCCTCCCTCCTCCTCCGCCTTCCTCTTCCTCCATCCTCCATCTCCTCCTCTCCCCTCCTCCTCCTCTTCCCAACTCCTCCTCCTCCTCCTCCTCCTCCTCCTCGCGGCGACGGGCGACGAGCGAGCACGACGACGCCGACGCCGACGCCCCCTCGCCGATGCGCAGCGCGGCGGCCCCGCTCCTCGACCAGTGCTTGCTCACCGCGCCCAGCGGGCCGCCGGGGGTGGCCCGCGGAGCCGCGGCCCTGGCGCCTGGCCGCCCCGCGCGGCAGTGCGCCGCTGCCCGCGGTCGCGGCCGCAGAGGTCGTCGTCGAGGAGGTCGTCGTCGTCGTGGCCGCCGCGGTCGTCGCGGTCGTCGTCGTCGTCGTGGCCGCCGAGGTCGTCGTGGACGTCGTGATCGCGGTCGTGGTCGTGGTCGCGGTTGTCGTCGTCCTCCTCCTCCTCCTCCTCGTCTTCGTCGTCGTCTTTGTCGACGTCTTCGTCGTCGTCGTGGAGGTCGTCGCCGTCGCCGTGGTCGTCGTGGGCGCAGTGGTCGTCGCTCGTGAAGGCGTCGGACTCGGGTTCGGGGGACTCGCATTGGCCTGACGAGGCCGTCAGGAGGATGACGAAACCAAATCTGGAATGTGACGCGGGCTCACGTTGCAAACATTGAATGTCACATCCAATATGCGCTCGTCCAAAAGCGTCGGAGAACCAGATTTCTAGCGAAATCGAGTCTTACGTTTCACCGAGTCGTCGTCGTCGTCGTCGTCGTGGTCGTGGTCGTGGTCGCTGCCGTGGTCGTCGGTCGCGGTGCTTGCATCGGGGCTGCTGGAACACGAGGGACCTGGCAGCGCGTCTCGAGGACTGCGGTCGCCCAGGAGGCCGAGCGCGACTGCCGCCCAACGTCTCTGCCCCTGGGGGGGCGCTGGGCCGCCCTTGTTCGTTTGCCATCCCCCCCCTCCCCTGCCACGCCCACCTCGGCCCCCGCGCGCCACCAGCTGCAGCTCACCATCGTGGTCGCCATCAACGTCGTGGTCGCCCTCGCCGTCGCCGTCGCCGCCTGCCCCACATATCCGACGACCTAACGCTTGTCCACCCGACCGTTTTTGTTCCGAGGTCTCGGCCTCCGGGGACCACTCTCAACGATACGTTGTTTTTTCTGAATCTGGGCGATTTGCCTCCGGGGACGGGGTCGAGGCGGGACCTCCTGGGCCGCGCCCAGGCAAGATCACTGCGGCGGGGGCCAAGTATCATCGAGGTTGGAAGATCAAGATAGAAGTTTTCGAGCGTTTGTTAATTTGGTGGGAGGGCAGAGCGGATCACTTGGCATGCTCAGCATGGCGCTGGAGGTCGGACGGGTTGTGGGGCCATGGTCAGGCGCAGCTCCAAAAGGTGCTCGCGGTTGTCCAGAAGATTGAGTGACCGAAAAGGGGGTCCAGCTGAAAAGGGGGGGTGCAATAGATTTGGGGTAAGTGTATTGCAAATGTATTGCGCTGGAGAATTGTATTGCGTTGTATTGCACGTGATGTATTGCACGCGCATCAATACATTTGCGCCCCGGGATGTATTGACGCCCCAAACGTACTGCAACTCCACAAATCTATTGCACCAAATCTATTGCACCACCCCCTTGTCGCTGGACCCCGTTTTGGGTCAACCCGAAGAAGGAGCCATGGACCAATGCTGAGCGGATGTAGATAGGCCAGATCAGACATCCATATGACGCGAACAAATCGCAAAGGGCGTGTTGTTTGTGACGATCACGGGCCCCAAACTATCAAAAAAAAAAAAAGAGGCCGGGCGCAAACACCGGGCCACGGGACTCAAGGATTGGATCGGGAAGCCCTGGGACCACTGCGTTCCCTGAAATCCGACGTTGGCAAACCAATACAACAACGCGAAACTCACGACCAGAGCCCCCGACCCTTCGAGCGAAAGTTACGATCAGACGTCGAGCCAGGTCAGTTTGGGATGGCCCGGGGACCCGACACCCACCGAACACGCCCGCTTTGACAAACAATGACATGCCCGGATCTCAGGGGAAAGAAGAAGGCAGGCTGGAACTAGTGGCTCTTAGAAACGGCAGGGCCGTTTTTGGTGTCGCGCGAAATTCCGATATTGAGGGTGAAGACGGGCTATGTGTGTATGTACATGTGTAAGTCTACGGCCACTTGCCTGTCGAAGTGCCACCCGCGGCCAGACATAGTTGACTCGCGCTGGGGGCCTAAAAAAACGCACACACTCGGATTGCCTGAGATGGAGGGTCAGCCACGGGGGCCCGGCGAAGCTCACGCACAGACGCGCACGCACACGCGCGCAAACCCACACACGCAAACCCACACACGCAAACACACGCACACGCACACAAACACAAACACAAACACACACACACACACACAAAAAAAAAAACACACACACAAAACAAAACAAAAAAAACACGCACACGCACACGCGCACGCGCATGCACACGCAGGCACGCACACGCACGCACGCACACGCAGACGCCCGGAGAGAGGGGGAATGGTAGGATAACAAAAGGGCAGGGTAGAGAATCAGCTCACGTAGCTGGTTTTCTCGGCGCCTCCTGGCGCCGGGAGGCGCTCATGTGTCGAGGAATGGGCTGAAACTGTTTGGGGCCTCTTGGGGTCAGTGTTGTCGGCCGTCCGGGGGCTACCTTCGGCTGCCCCCAGGTTGTTTGGAGGCCATGCGGAGCTGCCTTGGCTGTATTGAGGGCCGTCTCGAAGCCGCCTCGGAGACATCTTGCAAGGTCTTGCAGGTTCCAGTCGGCCGTATTGGGCGTTCCTGGGGCTCCTCGACGGCCCTCTGGACCCTTCTGAAGCCTCAAAAGTTCCTCGCAAGCGACGAGGCGAGATTTTCGAAAACATTGATCCCCCGTAAGTTTCGAAAATGTTTAGCCCTCTGGAGGCCTCGTCAGAGCCTCCTGAGAGCCCACGGAGGCCTCTGGGGGCCATCCTGGACTTTCTCGGGAGAGGCCATCTGGGGCCGTCTGGGTGGGCTCCAGGACCGTTGCGGGGCCGTCTCGGGGCCGCAAGGGGATCATCTCGGAGAGTCCCCGGGCTGAACCTAAACGGTGTTTTTCGTTCTCGTTTTGTTTTCCTTGTCCCTCGCTTCTGCCTCGAATCCGCCATTTACCGCAAAACGAAATCGAAACGAAAACGGCCAACGAAATCAATCAAAAACACAGCTTGGGTCCAGCCCTGGAGGGTCCCGGGGACTCTGGCCCACCCATGGAGGTTTCGGGCAGCTGACTTTGGCCCCAGGAGATACTACGCCGTTCTAGAAGTGTCTCAGCGTGGGCCCGCGGATTCAATCCACCGAGAGTTGAAATGATCGAGGCTCGGTGGCCTGCGGTAGCTTCTTTGAAACTTGCTCTTGCGTCTCCAACTGAAACAGCCCGATGCACTGGTGCGGGTCCCGAGGTGTTCGAGCTTCGCGAAAGCAAGAAATTCCAGAGTCCAGGCTGGCGCACCGTTAAAAGATCCGCGCCGGGATCTCCGACGACGCGGGAGCGGGCCAGGGCAAACGCGGCGCCGTCTCGGGCCGCGTCGGAGGCGTTGAAACGGCGTCGCGGCAAAGTGAGGATCGCAGCGTGGCACCAGTTTTGGGATGTCCAAACTCCGAACCAAGATGTCGCTACACATGTTGCAAAGCATCGCCTCTCTTCCTCGCAGCCGATCCCGCCGAGCGTCAAGGCGTCGTCGTCGTCGCCGTCGTTGCCCTCGCACAGAAGACACGTACCCATGGCGACCAAAACGTCGACATCGTTTCTTGTGAGACCGCGAGGGGCCTCGCGCTTGTCACCTGCCCCCTCTAGCAGGCAGGTTGAAGCCTCTGGGGGGCCGCTTGGGATCTCCTCGGGTGCTCTTGTGGGCCTCGCGGAGGCCTCGCGGGCCCTCTTAGGCCGTGTAGCGCGCCCCTTGGACCGTCTTGGAGCCATCTTTTTTCCCAACCATCCTGTGGTGTTGGGTCCTAGTTTTGAAGAGACGGCGCCCTGCGTTCCTCCCGCCTCCTTTCTTCCCCCTCCTCCCTTCTCCCATCCCTTCCTGTGCTCTCCGCGTGCCGTCATCACCATCAGTATCGTCATCATCGTGATCACCATCGCCATCGTCGGCGTCATCAACATCGTTATCGTCAGCGTCGTTACACACCCCTCACACGCTTCGTGGCCACACAGGGAGCTCCACCGAAGGCCCCAGTGGCACAGGGTGCATACGTCACCGCCACCAATTTCGGCACACACCCCGCACGATTCGTGGCCCACAGGGAGCTCCTGAGCTCCCCCGAAGGCCTCAGTGGCAGTGTCCACATGGCGGCGCCGCCCCATGTTGGCGCAGCCCTCACACGGTTCGTGGCCCCATAGGGAGCTCCACCGAAGGCCCCACTTGCAGGGTCCACATGGCGGCGCCGCACCCATTCTGGCGCACCCCTCACACGGTCCGTGGCACCAGAGGGATCTCCACCGAAGGCCCCAGTGGCAGGGTCCACATGGCGGCGCCGCACCCATTTTGGCGCAGCCCTCACACGGCTCGTGGCCTCATAAGGAGCCCTTCCGAAGGCCCCAGTGGCAGTGTCCACGTGGCGGCGCCGCCCCATCTTGGCGCACGCGTCACCCGGTTCGCTGTCCCATAGAGAGAGAGAGAGAGAGAGAGAGAGAGAGAGAGCTCCACCGAAGGCCCTAGTGACAGGGTCCACATGGCGGCGCCGCCTCATTTTTTGATGCACCCCTCACACGGTTCGCGGCCCCGTAGGGAGCTCCACCGAAGGCCCCAGTGGCAGGGTCCACATGGCGGCGCCGCCCCATGTTGGCGCACCCCTCACACGGTCCGCGGCCCCACAGGGAGCTCCACCGAAGGCCACAGTGGCAAGGTCCACATGGCGGCGCCGCACCCATGTTTGCGCACCCCTCACACGGTTCGTGGCCCCGTAGGGAGCTCCACCGAAGGCCCCACTGGCAAGGTCCACATGGCGGCGCCGCCCCATGTTGCCGCACCCCTCACACGGTCCGCGGCCCAACAGGGAGCTCCACCGAAGGCCCCACTGGCAAGGTCCACATGGCGGCGCCGCACCCATGTTGGCGCACCCCTCACACGGTTCGTGGCATCTTAGGGAGCTCCACCGAAGGCCCTGGTGACAGGGTCCACATGGCGGCGCCGCCTCATTTTTTGCCGCACCCCTCACACGGTCCGCGGCCCCACAGGGAGCTCCACCGAAGGCCCCACTGGCAAGGTCCACATGGCGGCGCCGCCCCGTTTCGGCACACCCCTCACGAAGATCGTGGCCCCGTAGGACGTTCCACCGAGAGCGGTACCCACAACGCGGTACTCACAGCTGCATATGGTCGGGTCCTTCGCCAAGATAATTCTGCCCTGCGCGGACCAACATGCCACTCCGCTGCTGTCCACGCAAGCTTGGACTGTGCGCGTCCTTGAGCGCATCCCAGAAGATGTCCTTGAAGATTCTGAAAACCGTGAGGCTCGCCCGATTCGGCAGAGCAGTGTCATGGCACTACTGCCACTTCCACTGCCCCTTCTTTGCTCTGGCCGCGTCCTCGACATCTCACAGGTCGTCCTCGCAGTGCGTCTTGATGGTCACGTCCGAGGTCGCGTACGTCACGCACGTGAGGCAGAAGCCCTCCCCCGTCTGGTCCTCGTCCAGGAAGGCCTGGTCCGACTGGTCGATCTCGCCGGACAGCACCTTGCCCGCGCAGCTCGAGCACGAGCCCGCGCGGCAGGAGTAGGGCAGCTCCAGGCCCTCCTCCTCGGCCTGGTCGAGGATGTACACGTCCTCGGGGCACTCGAACTCCTGGGTGCCGTCCGGCGTCTCGAGCGTCACCTTGAAGTGCGCGGCGACGCCCTGGCGCGCGGGGACGGTGCTCAGGACGGCCGGGGCAGCGCCGGAGGCGAGGGCACGGTCGCCGCCCGCCACGGGCCTGCACTGGCGGTGGACCGACTGCGTGAGGGCGGCCTCTGGCGCAGCGAAGGCCTGGCTCGGGCTCGGGGCGAGCAGGCCGCGCAGCGCCAGGAGGCACAGGGCAGCCACGACGGCCGCAGGGAGCACGCTGGAGCGGAGGGCCATGGTCCCGTTGGTGGGCGCCTGGGGAGCAGCCGGGGCGAAGATATGGCCGAGAAAGCTTGAGCCAAAATTGCTACGGACCGGGGCCGTCTTAGGCGCCTCTTGGGCCGTTCCCGGGCTGCCTAGAGCCATCTTGGGCCACTCTTGGAGCGATCTTGGAGGCCCCTGGGGAGCGAAAAGCCAAAAAGCGGACCTGCTGAAAATGTCAATTTTCCGAAACGGAAATGCGACGACTTTTGCTTGATGAAGCCCTCTTGAACTTGGGGGTCCCCTGGGAGCTCTCTGGATGCGTTGTGGAAGCTGCTCGGGCACCAGGGGTGACTTCTGGCGCCGCCTTGTGCCATTTGGGATGGGGGGCTGAACACTAGTTTGGGGCCTGGGGCCGATGCGGGGATGTGTGGATGACTTTGGGGGGCCGTCTTTGGCCGTGGAGGGCCCCCTGGAGGCCGCTGTGGGGACGCTTTGGCGGAGGCCCGGGAAGTCCCCCAACCCGCCAGGCACCTTTCGAATTTATTTGGAAGGGCATAACGATACGGGTCGCAGAAACGGACGGCAAAAACCGATCTGGGATTGAGGCCAGGGAGATCCGGGGAAGAAGCTGCAAAACGACGGGGAAAAACAACGGCCTTTCGCTTCCAAGAGTGAGGGAAGGAGGGGGCTAACGATACGGTTCGCAGAAACGGACGGCAAAAACCGCTCTGGGACTGAGGCCAGAGGTCCGGGGAAGAAGCTGCGAAACGACGGGGGAAAACAACGGCCTCTCGCTTCAAAGAGTGAGGGAAGGAGGGGGGCTAACGATACGGTTCGCAGAAACGGACAGCAAAAACCGCTCTGGGATTGAGGCCAGAGATCCGGGGAAAAAGCTGCAAAACGACAGGAACAAAAAAACAACGGCCTCTCGCTTCCAAGAGTGAGGGAAGGAGGGGGGCTGGAGGAGGAGAGGGGCGACGACGGCGGCGACGTGCACATCGCCTCGCTGGGGCGCAGCGAGTTCCAGGTGGCGCTCCGGGCACGCCGCGCCCCCTGTTTCGACGACGGGCGACGGAGGACCACGACGACGGCGGAGACGGCGAGAGGACGAAGACGCCAGAGGCGAGCTTTAGATCGGGCATGTCCTCCTACAGTCGGGGCGTTGATCTAAGGAACGATCAATAAGGAACGAGGCCCTTTCTTCCATAAGTTAAACTCAAATGTTCCATGGAAAACCTGGGGGAAACCCGAGGAGCGCTGTAAAACAACGAAGGAACACGGAGCTCCTCCCAAACTAAAAGGGTTCCTTCTTCAGCGGCCCGACTGTACAGGCGGACTTCAGAGGAAAAATGACAGATCGCAAAACGTGCTCAAGCAGATTCAAGAATAGTCAGAGTATCGTCCTCCCACTGTGCCTGTGAACCATTCTTGGACGTTGCGCCTGTAGGGGGGACATGCTCAACTTCAGACGAGCGGCGGCCTGCGCTTGCGCCGGCGTCCGCGGCGTCGGAGCCCGGCTGCTGGAGCGGCGGGTGGTCGAAGCGGCAGCCGTTGCGCTTGCACCTGCAGCAAAACGGCAGGGAGGGGGCCCATGACGCGACGCGCGGCGTCGCGGAGGTCGCCCCGGAGATGCTGGCGACTCCACGTTTTCGAGCTGGGCGTTTTCGCCCGAATGCGGGCCCTGCAGGGTCAGGGCCCCGTAGACCCGGACACGCTAGACCCGGACACCCAATATCCCTCGAAACCAATTTTTCCAAACGGCGGCACGAACAAAATACTGCACTGCAGCATTTCCAGAATAGACCCGGACACAGGCCCCAAAAGCCTGCAAGACCCCCCTTAACCAGGACACACACCCGAATCCTGCAGTGCAGCAAACAAAATATGCACGGGTGCTGAAAAACGTGACTCTGCAGGAAAGGATGTCGTTTCCTTGGTTTTCCGTGTCATGGTTTATCTGTGTCCTGGTCTCTGGGGGCCTGACAGGGACCCTCACAGATCGGTCCGGCTCGAAAAAAAAACAGAAGAGTGGGCTCTGGGGCTCCGATGATGATTTCTACGATGTTGCAAGTGTCTCGCAGCGTCAGATCTCAGATTGCGTGCTCGGACGGGGAGGAGCGGCACCCGGAGGATGGCGCAGCGGGCATGGGACCATGCCACCCTTGCCACCGCCGAGGGCCAGAATGGAGGAAGGCCAAGGGAAGCGGCGGGAGGTAGTGGATGTGGAGAGGGAGAAGTTCGGTCTGGACTCGGGTCAGAGGCCGTTCTCTTTTAGACACCGGGGCGGTTACTTGCGAGGGGTCCAGAGGCCCCTCATCTCTGGACCGTCCCCTCATCCTCTCCCTTCTCATCGTGATCCTCCTTCTCCTTCTCGTCCTCCTTTGTCACTGGGAAGAAGATCGGAAGCCTCTGCCCTCTCCTATGGCACACCACACTGCACCACCACACTACACTGCCTACGGACCGCAAATTGACGCTGCGATGGGAAGCATAAGAGGAGAACATGGAGGCGTGGCCTGGCCTGGCAGCGGGAGCAGCAGAAGGCCAGGTGCAGAGCGCAAGCGAGAGTGTTCGGAGGCCCGAGCGGATGTTCCTGGCCAGCACTGACGCCCCCTCCCCCCCCCCCTGCTCCCTGGCGCCGCCAAGGGGCAGGATCAGTCAACACCGCATCGGGAAGTCAGATCGAGACCGAATGTGCGTCGGATCAGGTTGCATCTGCACGGAGTCTGGAACCAATCGAGTCGATCGCGCTAGAACGCACAACAGCGCGCCATGCGGCAAGCATCGGTCCGCATCGGAGCGTCGGAATATTGGAGTCGAATCGGATCAAGCTGGCTGGGATGAGGAACTCGAGTCGGATCAAGCGGATCGCGATTTGCCCCGATGGGTGAGGGGAGGAAATCCAGCGCCGATCAGCGAAATCCGCGCAGATCTTCGGAAGCTCAGTTTCATGCCGTCTTGGGGCACGGTGGGAAGGAAGACGCTCCTGCTTAGAGCTATGGCAACTTAACGCTAAGAAGCTGGCCTTCACTCCAAGCGAAGTGGTCTCAGCCCAGGCACGACAGCTCTGCGAGAACCAAAGCTCCAAGAACAGACGCCCAGGGCCCAGTCTAGATTCTTGCTTCTCTTGAACGAAATCCGGAACGGGAGCAGGGTGGCGCGTGCTCTCAAGATGCCTGATGAGGAGAAACAGGAGGAGGAGAAGGAGGAGGAGGCGGAGGAGGAGGAGCAGGAGGAGGAGCAGGAGGAGGAGCAGGAGGAAGAGCAGGAGGAGGAGGAGGAGGAGCAGGAGCAGGAGGAGGAGGAGGAGGAGGAGGAGCAGGAGCAGGAGGAGGAGGAGGAGGAGCGGGTGTGTGTTTAGCTCAGCGTGGCCAGAATCAGTGTGCGCGGACGAGGGGGGGCCAGGGCACGTGCGGAAAAGCAGGCAGACCGGGCGGTGGGGGCGCGGGGCGGGGGGGGGGCATCACTCTGGGAGACGTCGTGGCCCCCGCAGTGATGGCCACATGCGCCCGGGAGTCCTCCCAAAGGGCTCCCAACTTCGCGCTTCGCGCTGCGCGAAGCGCGAATAACGTCGCGCTTTCGCGCCGCCGCCAGGGGAGAAGAGGAGGATGAGGAGAAATCGGAGCCGAACCGCGAAGCGCGAATAACTTCGCGCCCCCGAAGGCGCCCTTGCCTCCCCCCCCTCCTTTTTGGAAGAGCGGCAAACTGCAATGATCAGCCAACATGGACCCGAAACAAGAACTTGCAGCTGGTGCACTGCACTGCATTATGAGTGGGTGCAAACAATGCAGTGCGATGTGAGTGGTGCAGTCTACGTGGTGCAATACGTATGGTGGCATCGATGCGGCGCGAATAGATTCAAAGCTATACAATGCGATGCAAAGCAATGCATCGCGATGCACACCAATGCCACGCAATGCAAAACGATCCGACGCAATGCCACGCAGTGCACGGCAGCGCAAGGCAATGCAAAAAGCAATGCCAAGAGCAGTGCAGAGAGCAGTGCAAAGAGCAGCGCAAAGAGCAGCGCAGAACGACGCAGGGCAGCACGGAGGCAACGCAAACCGATGGCAGCTCGACACAACGCGGTTGCAGTGCGAGTGCAGCTGCAATGCCACTGCAGCGCGCTGCCGTGTCGTGCGACGGCAGGACAGCGCTAGCGATGCGAGTGCAAGGCTCGGTGGGGGCCGCAGACAGGTCCGGGCGAAGGGGCATTTATTTCTTGTTTGAGCTCCACGCTCTGTCCGCCAATTCTAGCGAGGCACCCTACGGCGGGGGGAGGGCGCCAGCAGCCACGGCACGCACCAGGACCAAAGGGGGCGGCCTGGTGAGCCGAAAGGCCAAGGACGGGGAGGGTGCACCCCACGCCCTGGCGCAAAAACAATGCAAAAGAAAGGACGCCCCTGAGCAACGGTCACCGCAGGGGAGACATCTCCCTACGGCCGTGCGAAGGGGGACGGAGGCAAATAAATACACACAGAGAAAAGGACTCCCCACATTTTCCCATGTTGTCTGGGTGTCTGTCTTCCCCCGCGCTGCCCATATGTTCACATTTTCCGGGGAGTCGACGATGAATTGTGTCTCTGTTTGTTTTTCTCCCTCCTGAAATAGGAACCCCCAGATGCAAGCCCGAGTTGGGGGATAAGCTTCGGTCGGGCCTGTCCTCCTACAGGCAGAGCTTGGACGAAGAATGACAAAAGAGTCAAAAAACAAATACAACATCGGCCACACTAATTATGTATTGACTGTTTGTTGATATTCCTCCTGTAGAGGGATGTGCCCGACTTACAATGCGGACGCGGCCGCAAAAGAACCTTGCAAGAAACCTAACCCTGGAAACCCGCGCGCGAGGTGCGCCTGAGGGGAAACCCGGAGCACCCTGAACGCAGCCGCTCCTTCCCTGGCTGCGGGAAGCCACCGCGCGGCGCGCGGAGCGAAGAAACCCAGGATCCCCTGACGAAAAGGAGATGGTTTCTTGATGCGCGCCTCCAGTGTGAGCATAAACATGAACTCTTCGGAAACAACTACTGGGAGGTTTTCGTCGGAAGGATTGAGAAGATTCAGCCCCGTTGGGGGGCTGTTGCGCCGGAGTGGGCCTCAGATCAAGCGGGATGAAGCCGGATTCCACTGGATTTGGCCAGATGAAGCGGGATTCAGCCGGATCAAGCCGGATTTCGGACTAGTGGGCGCCCCGAACTATCCGGGTTAAGTCGGGTCCGGGGTAACTCGGGTTTGGATTCCCGAAAAACGAACCCGAGTTAGCCCTGACCCGAGTTACACCTGACGATTCGGGTCTCTGAGAGTTGCATCCGAAGAACTGCCTGAGGTCCGCACGGACTTCTCGCATCGGCGCTGGAACTCCCCGCCCTGGCGCACGGAACGCGCAACGGGGCGCCGACGGAGGGCGCCGCCAGGGGGGGGGCACAGCGCCAATCCAAGCATCATAGGCATGTTTCCCACCACCACCACCAGAAGTTGAAGGGGGGGCAAAGGAGGAGGAGGAGGACGAGGACGAGGAGGAGGAGGAGGAGGAGGACGAGGAGGAGGACGAGGAGGAGGTGGAGGAGGAGGACCCCCTGCCCCTCCAACGTATGGTGGTGGTGGTGGTGGTGGTGGAAGACAGGCCCATGAGAGCAAGTTGCGCGGAGCTCCGAACACCCCCCGAGGCGGAGGCTAAGGCCCCGGCTTGCCGGTGCGCTGCCACTCGAAGCAGATGGCTCGAGCAGGAGATCGAAGAAAGAATTGGCTTACCCCAAAAATCGAAATATTCGTCGAATCGTCATCGCCTCCTCCTCCTCCTCTTCCTCCTCGTCGTCGTCGTCGTCGCCGTCGGCATCACCGTCAGGGAGAGGCTCGAAGCAGGTGGCTCGAGCAGGAAATGGAAAACAGAATTGGCTTACCCCAAAAATCGCAATGTTCGTCAAATCGTCGTCACCTCCTCCTCTTCCTCCTCGTCTTCGTCGCCGTCGGCATCACCGTCAGGGAGAGGCTCGAAGCATTTGGCTCGAGTAGGAGATCGAAGAAAGAATTGCCTTACCCCAAACATCACAATACTCGTCGAATCGTCGTCGCCTCCTCCTCCTCCTCCACCTCCTCCTCCTACTACCAAAAAAAATCGCAATATTCAGGGAATCGTCGTCGCACTGCAGGTACTGCAGGTACTGAAAAGGTTAACCATACAGAGCACAGCTGACCGACGGGCACTGGCCCAGAAGATTAGTGACGAGAACTGAAATCCCCCAAGGTGGTTCCACTGACCTGTTGGGGGGAATGAATTCGGCGCTGAATACTGGGAAGCTTGCCCCTGAGGAGGGCCCGCTTATCCTTCGAATTCCCATTCGGAACACACCTCGACCTCAACTTGATGGCTTTCTGAATCCCAAAAGAGCCGCACCTGGAACAAAACACCACGGGGAAACCAGACCCCACCACGAAGGCAACATGGAGAGAATGCCCATAGTGTCCAGGTTCTTCCAGCACTTCTAGAGTAGAGGGGTTCAGGCCGATACAAGGAGTCTTGGTGCGAGGTGACGCAGTTCTGAGACAGCGACCGCAGCGCCAGT